TCCAAGATAGGCAGAATAATGTTACACTACAAACTATACTATAGGATAGATCAGCATATATGTGGATTTTCATGGTTAGTTCATCCACTGACTGTGAGATTACCTGTGGAACGACTTCCCACTGCCAGAATACTGCTTGTTTTTGCAGCCAAATGCTGCACATGTAGGCACTTTGACTGTGTGTCTCTGTGTGAGTGGGGAGTACCAGCATGGCGGACAGTGGCTTCACTTTTTTGGTCTATCAGCAATCCACTGAATAAATGGAGATCAGTGGTCGGCACCAACGAAGTGTTGCATTGTTGCAAATCTATATTTTAACATAGATAGCAGCGTAACAAAGTAATGATTTTTTTTTTTTCTTTACAGAGGGACGGCTAAAAGACGTGAAAGAGCATCGTCCCAAACTGGTAAAGAAACAAATAAATTTTCACTTAAACTGATAAATTCCCAGATTTCTTTTTTAAACGATTCATATTCACACCATGTCCTTTCACAGTCTACTTTAAATTCAGCTTCCTCAGTAAGAAAATGGATTCCCAGCATTAAGAATGAGATAGAGTATTACCTGCAGGTAAGAAAGATGACCTGATATGTTTTCTAGGGATCCTCATTCCTGTTATTTACTCGCTTCTCTTTCTGTTTCTGTCCCACCCTTAGCAATCTGAGCTTACTCATTATCCAGAGAGGAAAATAGCCGAGTTCCAGCTGCAAATCGAGGCTTTGGAGAAAGAGTACAAGAGCTTCCTTACCAAGCTACGAGCTCTAGATCCTACATGCAAACACAAGCCGTGGACCCCCAGAGCTTACAGTAAAAGGAGAGGAGAGGCTGAAGATGCACCAAAGGCGGGTCAGTGGCTGGATTAAGGGATTTCCCTTAATTACTGGTTTGTAAGGAATGCCATATCGTAAAAATTAACATTTTTAAGCCTCAAGAATAAAATTTAGGAAGAGCTCAATGCTATACAATAGATACTATACAAAATACCATATAGCCTTTGTACATCCTTAGAAAGTTAGCTAAGAGTAAAAGAAAAAAAAAAGATTAATATATGGAGGAGTCTAAATGTTCCTGTTCTGCACCAGAGGTGGATTAAGGAAAT